TTACGAGGAACCAACACTAAAGAACTGAACAGGGAGAGTATATATGGGAGACAGGACAAAAGCTGGGTCAATGAGGTGAAAAGGAACGTGTGGATGGGAGGAACTAGAGGGGAGCTAAGGGAAGGAGACTGAAACAAGTGTAATCCAACCAAAAGCTAGAATAAAACAAAATGGAAATGAAACCAATAAACTAGAAAACACAAAAAGACATCAATCAAAGTGTAACTAAAACTCAAAAACAAAACTTAAACCAAAAGGTGCAGGGTCATGACAAGCAATCCCTAACAGCAAAAGCCAAATAGCATCCCATCACCAACGCCACTAACTGCACGTGTTTGCGTTTTGTTTTTCTTTTCTGATCACTCCTGTGTTCATTATTGCCATTTAGGCCTTGCCATATTACGTGGTTTATTATGGTCATTGGGTTTTGCCATAGATTATTCCTGTCCTGTTTCTTACTCATTTATTTTGTTATTTCCTTTGTGCATTTTGTTTGTCATCTTACATGAATTTCAGATTTTTTTTTTTTCTCTCCATTTGGTTTGGAGGTTGTTTTAAGTGGTGTTTTAGCTCCACTGTGTTTATTACTAGTCAGCCTTTTTCAGTTTCCATGTTTTCACTCTGCCACAACTCTTCAAGATCTCACTTGGTTTTTGTCAGGCCTCAGTATCTAATCTCCCTGGTGGTTTCATGCTGCCTTCTTTTATTATCTTTATGGATGTCCTGTTCCTTCCGTCATGGGGTTTTTCTTTTCATTTTTTAAAAGATCTTCACTTCTCTACATCTCTTTCTGCCTGTTTTGGAGTTAAACTAAAGATGTATCCTGATAATTCACTATCTTCATATACTACTGAAGGGCTGCACGGTGCTGTAGTGTGTAACACTGTTGCATTGCAGAAAGAAGGTCCTCGGTTTAATCCCGGGCCAGGGGTCTTTCTGGATGGGGCTCTGCATGTTCTTCCTGTGCATATGTGAGTTCTCTCTGGGTACTCCAGCTTCCTATAGGAATTGGCCTGTAGGAAACATTTCAACATTTGTAGCAGTGAGGCTGATGTGAGCTGTGTGTACCCTGTGCTACAATCTGCAGGCAGCAGGATAATGAAAGCCAACATATTCTGCCGGCAGGTTTCTACATTTGAAGTTAATTTAGGCGTTAATAAACTGTTTCAGAGGAGTGATCATAGCGCTCTGCATCAGCAGTGCTGTGTCCGTCTCCCTGCCAGCTCCCAGATCAGCTTCTCTCATTGGTTGATGCGCCGCGTCCAGCAGCAAAATTATTTTTTTTTAAATCCTTCTTGCAAAGCGTGTCCTGCACCTCAGATGCTCAGAAGCTCATGAGGCACTGCTCCTGCTGCTGTGGAATTGCTACTCCTGGTGCTGTAGCTCCTCAACCATAGAGGTGAAAACAGCAGAGAGGATCATGGGGGCTCCTCTTCCCTCCATTATAGACATTTCATCCCAGCGCTGCGTGTCCCGAGCCCGTGACATCATCAATGACCCCTCACCCCCCCACCATGGACTGTTCTCCCTGCTGCCCTCTGGGAAGAGGCTTCACAGCATTTAATGCAGGTCCATACACTCTGTGTATAAGAAATAACATTAAAAGTTTTCTAAGTCTAATGTAAAACAGCTGCTTATGCTGCTTCCAGTAGTGTTCAAGCACAAATAGCCAAGGCCCATTTCTACTCATTCCTCTTGATGTTAAGAAGCAGTTTCTTTAACAAAAATAATGAGGTCATTAGCAGAATTTGGCTGCATGATGAGGAGGTTTTCAAGTCATTTGATTTGGTTGTAGTGCTCCATAGATTTTTGTATAAGTTGCAGGACACCTGCCTTTTGACTGCTGTAGGAGCCAGCAGACCTATGTCATCTAAAATAAAACAGATTCCCACTTACACCAAATCTTTTGAAGAAACGTAACAATATACTCCTTGGAATGCTCCACTGGAGCAACATTTCAATGTTAATATAAGAAAAATTATATAATAAGATCATGGCAAAGTCACTGCCTCTCACACTGTGAACTCCAGACTTGCAATAGACTGCAGAACTGGAAAGTATTAAAATCAATATATTTCGGAGGAATTACAGGAAAATTCTGAATTTGGTGTCATTTAGATCCACATGCTTTAGTAGGCAATCAAGGAAAACACACATATGGGAAAAGCTTTTTCTTTTCTTAATTTCATCTTTATTTGACAGGAACATGCAAACAAACACGGAGCTACAACAATGACTGTCCCTAAAGACTTGCATTAGAAGAGCATAGCTAATGCTAATTATCAGCTGCTGTTGTTGCTTTGGCTTTTATACAAAATAAAAACCAAATTAAAACTACACTACTTCAATTTAAAATATATCACTGAAGTCAAATTGAATAAACAAAACATGCACGTCATAAACAACCCTCACATCTGCCACTAATTAAAAGTGAGTACACTTTTGGCTTGTCTTTCACCAGATTATAATCCAGGAAAAGAACATTTTAAAGCCAGGTAGTCTTGATGTCAGACAGTAATGAGTTCCAGAGCTTAGAGACCCTAAAAAAGAAGAACAAAGCTGTTATAGACTATTTTATTTTACAGTCATTATAGAATCAGAATCAAGTTTATTGCTAAGTAGGTTTGCATTTACAAGGAATTCCACTTGATGGTCATAGTGCAGACAAATTGTATATATATATATATATATATATATATTGTAGGAGCAGATTATGAATTTCTGTATTCCAAATGGTTTGGGTCACATGATCTGTCAGCTGTCTACATAAGTATGATCCGGTGTTGATGAAGACAGGTGTGTTCCACCCGAAAGGGGGAAACAGTTTTTGACCGCAACGCAACGCAACGCAACGCAATACTACCGATACAGAAGTGAAAGCTATGTGGATCGCAGAAACAATGTATGCGGTGTCATTGTCAACATTGCCAAG